ATTTTCACAAGTCTGGCTTCACATCTTTTGTTACTTTGTCATATAGGGTAGAACTCGTCCCATTATTGGACAGGGCACAGTTAGACTAACTCCTTCCATTTCATTATCTTCTGTGCAACTAGTTCCTCAATTTCCTTTTAATTTATTATCTGTGAGTAAATTGACTGAAGCATTTAATTGTTCTGTGACCTTTTTATCCTTCATTTTGTGTCTTTCAGGACCTCAAAATGAAAAAGACAATTGGTGGCAGTATTAAAAAGAATGGCATCTATTACTTGGATTTCCAGTCGTCTACTAATGGAATGGCTTTTCATTCACAGGTTTCTGTACGCCAGTGGCGTTAATGATTAGGCCATCCCTCCTTGAGGTACTTGAAATATGCTTTACCTTTTCTTGAGTTAGTGTCTACTTTAGACTATGAGTCGTGTCAATTGGCAAGCACTATAGAGTGTCTTTTGCTCCCCGTATTGACAATCGTTGGCCTTCTTAATTTGAATTGGTGTATACCGACATTTGGGGTCCTGCTCGTCATGTCAGCAATTCAGGTTTTTCCTATTTTGTTACCTTTGTTATGACTATTCAAGGATGACTTGGATTTTTTTAATGAAAGACCGTTTTGAACTTTTTTCCATATTTCAATTATTTTTTAAAGAAATTAAGGTCCAATTTGGATGTGTTATACGAACTTTACAATCTGATAATGCTATGGAATATGTCAAAGATTCTATTTCTACATTTTGTGACTCTCGTGGTGTTTTGCACAAAACTTCTTGTTCTTATACTCTGCAACAAAATGGCATAGCAGAATGGAAAAATAGGCATTTAATTGAAATAGGTCGGACATTAATGATCCATATGCATCTTCCCCGTGCATTTTGTGAGATGTTGTTTTAATTGCTTGCTACTTAATTAATCGTATGCCATCTTCCGTTCTTAACTAGAAACGCCCTTATTCAATTGTTTTTCCTACTCGTCCTTTATTTGCATTATCTCCTCGTGTTTTTGGGTGTGTGTGCTTTGCTCACATATTACGTCCTGGCATTGATAAATTGTCTCCTCGTGCCATTAAATGTTTCTTTGTTGGTTATTCTCGAACTCAAAAGGGTTATAAATGTTGGGTACCTAGCGCTCGTAGTGCTTTTGTGTGTATGGACGTCACTTTTTTTGAGGACACTCTGTACTTCTCTTTATGTGGTTCATCCTTAAATACCGATTTGTTGCTTCCATTACCTATTGTGTATCCTTTACCTGAGTTTTTTTTTCACACCACAGACAATTCAAGTGTATGGTCAACGACCACATGAGCCCTCCCCCCGTTTGTCTACTTCTATTGAGGTTCCTCCTCTGGCTGATGATCGTCCTATTGCCTTGCGTAAAGGTACTCGCTCTTGTGTTATTGCACATCCCATTTTTAACTTTGTCTCCTATAATCATGTTTCACCGTCTCTCTCTTGTTTTTTATCCAAATTGTCTACTACTCTTGTTCCTAAGATTTTGCAAGATGCTCTTTCTTATCTTGGTTGGGTGGATGAAATGGATGCCCTTTATCATAATAGGACATGGGATCTTGTTCCTTTACCTCTTGGTTGCAAACCGATTGGTTGTAAATGGGTTTACACTGATAAATACCTCCATAATGGTTCTATTGAGTGTTTGAAAGTTAAACTTGTTGCAAAGGGGTACACTCAAACCTATGGTGTTGATTATGATGAGACTTTTTCCCCTGTACTTATTTCCATTGCTGTTAATTGCAATTGGCCGTTGTTTCAATTGGATGTTAAAAATGCCTTCTTACATGGTGACTTAGCTGAAGAAGTTTATATGGAGTAACCACCTGGGTTTGTTGCTCATGGTGAGTATCGTCATACTGTTTGTCGCCTTAGGAATACCCTTTATGGATTGAAACAATCTCCAAGGGCTTGGTTTGGAAAGTTCTTTGTGGTTTTAACAGATGCCAGACAGACCATTTAGTGTTTCACCAGCACACTTAAGCTGGTTTCATCTTTCTTGTGGTGTATGTAGATGACATTATGATTGCATGTTATGGTTCTGAAGGCATTGTTAAATTAAAGTTGTTTCTACAGAATCGGTTCCACATTAAAGCCTTGGGTCAACTCCTATATTTTTTGGGTATTGAAGTTGCTAGATCTAAGGAAGGTATAAGTTTATCTCAAAGAAAATATGTGTTGGATATATTAGACGAAACAGGTATGTTGGGTGGTCATCCTGTTGATTCTCCTATGGATCTAAATAGAAAACTGTTGTTAGATGAGGGTGATCTATTTGATGATCCTGGCAGATATCGATGTGTTGTTGGAAAATTAATTTATCTCACTATCACTTGGCCTAATATCTCGTATGCAGATAGTGTTGTAAGTTAGTTTATGGGAGCTCCTAGGATGCCACATTGGAATGCAGTTCTTCTGATTATCCGATATCTCAAGCAAGCCCCAGGTTTTGGTTGTTATATAAACTGAATGGACATCTAAGGATGGAAGGTTTCACTGATACTGACTGGGCTGGTTCTCCCTCAAATAAGAGATTCGCTACGAGATACTGCACATTTGTAGGCGGAAATCTTGTTATATGGAGAAGTAAAAAGCAAACAGTGGGAGCACGATCTAGTGCTAAAGTTAAGTACAGGGCGATGGCTTTTTCCTCTAGTGAGTTGACATGGCTACAACATTTTCTTAAGGAACTTGGGTTGATAGTCAAAACTCCTATTCCGTTGTTTTGTGATAACCAAGCGGCTGTTCATATTGCATCCAATCCTGTGTTTCATGAGAGAACCAAGCATATTGAAGTTGATTGTCACTTTATTCGAGAGAAAATACTAAGTGGGAATATTTCTACTCCATTTGTGAAGTCTAAAGTCTGAAGATCAACTAACTGATATGTTTACTAAGGCTCTTGGTCATAATTAGTTGAAGGCTATCTGTTTCAAGCAGGGATTATATGATATATATTGTCCAAGCTTAATTGAGGGGGAGTGTTAGAACATTTTTTATGTATATATATTTATGTTGGGCTAAATTATAATTATGTATAGTTTGTGGGTGTTATATAATTTGGCCTATCTTATGTATGTATTTCCTTTTATGTTTAGGGTTTACAGAAAATAGAAAAATGCTTTCCAAATCTTCATCTCTCTCTCTCTCAAGAGCAAAGAATCTACACATTACATTTGACAAATCTCCATAGCCTACAGGATACGTTGTTATGCCAAAAATCATTTAAAATTTTGTTGATTCATGTACACAGTATATATATATCAATACAAGCTCAAAACCTAGAGTTATTTATGAAGAATAAGATGAAAGCTCAAATCTAGGTTTTTTAATCAATGATGTGGAACCTTCTTCTGCCAGGGTAGCATGGAATTCTATTTCCTTTGATTATAATGAGGTGGGCCTTGGCCTACAGAACATCTTTGTACAATGCTCAAGGCTGAGTAGAAGGAGCAACTTTTAATATATTATGAGCCCAAACAATGGATTGTTACAAATTTTTTTGAATATGGGTTATGTATGTTTAGTCCCTCAACTTCATGGATGGGAGTCAAGAACATGGCTAGATATTTTTGGTTTGTCCCCTACTGTGATGTATAGTTTAGATTCATAACAATTCGGGACAATAGGAGGTTTAGTTGCATGATTCCAAAAATTATCCCCATATCTACTTTTGCTCATATTCCTGTACTCAATTTTCTTTTACGCCTCGTAAAATACATCCACTAGAAGACAATCAATCATTTGTGTGGAATTTTTTTTATGTGAATAAGGTTGTATTTTTTTAAGAATTATTTTTTGTCTCTTAACTCTATTCTACTCAACAGCACAGACATATAATCCCAACAACTTCGCATAGTATTAAATAACGGTGTATTTTTATCTATAGATAATTTATAACATGGGAGAACTGCCCAACTCAATTACTCAATTCAGCAAAGCTTTTTTCCCAACTACTTTGAGAACTACTCACTTTATTTAGTGATTGTTAGTGATAAAACTATTTTCATTTTCAATCTTTCGATCATCTGAACTTCTCCCTCGGGTCACCCAGATCATATGTTCTTGATTTAGGAAAGGAAAGAGATTTGTTACCAATTGATGCATGCGATAGAAGAGAATTAGAGGAGAGAAGAAAAGAGGCAAGAAGAGGAAGATACAGAAGAAGAAGAGAGAAACGGCAGTTTAAGGTATGAATCATATTTCAATAATCAATATTCAATCAGTTAGCCTGGATAATTATAAAGGCATTAATTATAAGGGAAAGTCGTGGGCAAACCCTACAAAACCCTAATTACTATATATTGATTATGATGGTTTGGACATTTGTAAAGAAGATCATTAAGTGTATAAGAGCAGTGACGTGGTTCACATTGAAGGTAATGCTAGATGAAAGGGAAGACCAAAATTTATACAGGTAGAGTTCGTCTATAAAAACATTACAACATGTGATTTGACCGGAGTTATGACCTTAAATAAAGTAGAACCGAAAACTAGGATTCTTGTAAGCAACCCAAGTCGTTGAGAAAATATTGTTTGCTATTGTTGTATTCTTTTTGTGTTTGATGCTGATATATGTTGTGTTTGTGGTCCGACTTGTACAATTGTACAGTATATTTGTTCTGCCGATTCTATGGTTGGAACCATGATATATGGGATAGGGAGATGATATAAAAGAATGCTGTCTTGTTTAAGACTATTATGTGGCCTCTGTTTCTTCTGATGGAAAGTGAGATCATAAAATAAAAATTAGGTCTACGCCATTGTATTATGCATATATACAAGCTACATTTTCAAAGAATTTATATAACTTGTTTACTGGCGCCCAATTGAAATTAGCTTCCATTTTCGTCATTTCCCCCATGTGTGCGTGTGAAGACAACTTTCTAGAAGATAGCCTTTGTTTAGCACGTGATAGTAATCTCATAATGGGAAAATACCTCAATACAATAGGATTAGCAACAGATGCAATATATATAAATCCTATCTAAATAACAGCCAATGTAAATATCATTTTTCATTAAAACAAAATAGATGCATTTGATAGCTCATTAAAGATCTGACTTCCTGTTTTGATTTAGTTCACATGCAGCTCATGGAGAACCTGTATCCGGTTGAAAATAAGTGAAGACCGCCATAGTTTGTGGAAAAGTATACGTGCACTGAGAGGCATCCTTTATTCAGATTTTTAAGAGTGGAAATCCATATTTTTAATCACATCCTCGATCAGACGTCCCAAAGAATTGTAGGATGACCCACCCTCCATCATGGCTTCTCTGCTTTTCTCTTTCATCTCATTCACCTTCTTTCTAATTTCCCCATCATCCCTCATAACTTTTCTTATCCCGGTCTCTATCTCCTCCGCTGTCAAGGGCACTGGATTTATTTCTCTTCTTGTATCTTTCCTGTAGTCCATCTTGATCTCCACTGCTACTCCCAACTCTCTCACAATTTCAAAAGCATTCATTTGCTGCTCTGCATACTGAGGCCATGCTGCCATGGGCACTCCGCACCACATGCTCTCCAGTGTAGAATTCCACCCGCAGTGTGACACAAACCCTCCCACTGCCGGGTGTGACAGCACTGCCACTTGTGGCGCCCAACCAATCACTTTTCCCATCCCTGCCATCCGTTCCAAGAATCCCTCTGGCAGGACTTCTTGCGGATTCTCATATTCTTTTGGAAGCTCTACCTTTCCCTTTGGTGGAGGCTGACGCAGGGACCACAAGAAACGGTAGCCACTGCACTCTAGTGCATCCGCAATCTCTTTCAACTGTTCCTTACCGAAGCTTCCCATACTCCCGAAGCACAAGAACACCACCGACAATGGTGGCTGATCATCGAGCCAGCTCATGATAGCATCGGATTGGTGGCTCCTCTCACCACTCTTGAGGTTGAGTATGGGTCCGACTGGGTAGACTGGCGGGGTCTTACCGTCCGATAGGGACTTCACTGCATGGGATTCTAGCTCCATGAACGTGTTGACCATGATGCCCTTAGTCTGTCTTAACCTTCGGGCAATTGCTATGAACAGGCTGCACTCATCTTGGTTATACAGCACCATCGATGGCAAGACCTTAGACGGAACAGAATTCGCAAAACATGGAATTGACAACTCTGTTTCCGAGTCCTTGAACTGAGTAATGTCTATGTTTTGATCATCGTGGATGGACTGGAGATGGAACATGAGGCCAAGAAAACCAGCACCAGATGTGAAGTAGACGTAGGATGGGACCCCCAACTCATCAGCCACATCGATCATGCAGCTGCAGAGCATGTCAACAACAAACCCAGCAAGTCTATTGGTTTGGATTCCGGCAGCAACATCTCTCACTCGAGTCTTGTTGTTTTCTGTAAGGGTGGTAATTAAGTGGACACCGGGCTTTGATTCTTGGTAAGAAAGTTCCACGAAACGTATGCGTGAGTTCGGGTCTTCAGACATTGGTTGGGTATGAATACTGGTCTTGGTGTCAAAGGGCCCCTTCATTACGATTACTGTAATGAAGAGCCGTTCGTCGCCGCCGATGAGGAGGTTGGCCATCTCCACTGCCGATGCTAGGTGACCGACTGCGGGCCCAGGGATGAAGACCAGCTCTGCTACTTTCTTCATTTTTTACTACTACAATGCTGATATGGTTGGGAAGACTTTGAACTAATGATTCTACTTATGGTCGATATATGCTTTCTAGTACTTGCTGGTGTGTGTTTATATAGACCACTCGAACCATTAAGTATGAATGCAAGTGATGTAATGGCTTTGCTGGCGGAGAAACTGACAGTTTCTCAAGTTTCCACAACGATCATGTAAATATATTATAAAGTAATAGTATAATCCAATCCAGTCTACATCTACAAGACCATTGAAAAGGGCAAAATGAAGATAATCAACAATGACCGAATTGGAATTGTATAATAACAGGACAAGAGCATTTTTGACTTGTCAATGAAGTTTCGGGGTTGGTAAGGCCTTAGATTAGATATAGGTCGAGAATTATCGTGGTTTTATGTATGGACAATATTCAATCATTACTTATTATGTAATTTTTTTTAAATGGTAATACATTAGATTAGATATAGGTCAAGAATTATCGTGGTTTTATGTATGGACAGCATTCAATCATTACTTACTGGGTAATTTTTTTTTTGTGATTAATCAAGATCATGTAATAATTTTTATATTTATATGATATTTATATTGCTTGAAAATTTTAAAATAAGTACGCGAAGGTTAATTACTTGGCAAAAAAAAAAAAAAAAAAAAAAAGGGAAAAAGAAAAATGAGGGAAGAGGGGAGGAAAAGGCTTAATGGAAATAATTGGCCTTGCCTCATGTCCAATGCCTGTCAAATCTTGTCTTCACACTATTTAGCAAATCAGTGAATTTTGAATGCATAACCTGGTGACCTTTAGTATAAAAAATTGGATTAGTTAGCACTTAGCACATGCCCGTGACAGAGACTCCTTGAAGGAATGATGTTAATTTTCTAGTAAACAATCTAATTGGCATCCTTTGTTTCGACGTACCAGTAAGAGAGATTCTAATTGTCCTCTTTATTTTGGCCCACCCCCAAGTCTTTGAAGAATATATACACAATATCACAAGTCCACCAAACAAAATCTACCCATACAGGAAGCGGTTTATGAACAGAATATATATTTCTTTAAGAAAGCTCTTAAGAATATGTATGCTATATATATGTGTGTGTGTGTGTGTGTGTGTGTGAAAAACACTTGCCTTTTTTCTTTTTTTTTTTTTTTTTTTGACCTGCCAAACAAGGCCAACAAGACAAACACCTAGTGTAGCATTTGGGAGGGCTTTCAAATCTCAAAAGGCCTTTTGGTAAGAAGGCCTTTACGTAAATAACGTTACAAGAAGACCTTTATTAAAAAAAATATGTTTAGTAAGCATCAATTTGGCAAGTTCTTTTAAATCAAAAAAGCCATTTCACGCATTTGGTGACAAAATTTAAGAAGTCCTTTCACGAGTAAAACAATTTTCAATTGACAATGTTGCTCTCAATTCATGCAGTTAAATATAATTGAGCCATATAAAAGGACCAAGGAAACTAACATTATTCTTTTCAATTGTGTCATCTATATAACTCAATTATGTATAAATAATTCACCAAATAGAAATCAATTTTATTTAAAGAAAAATAAATATGGTGGCGGACCCATTTGGAAAGAAATTCCAGTGATTGCCTAGTCCACTCATTTTTTAGTATCGCGCCTGACTTTGTGGTGGAATAGCCCAAAAGGAAACCAAGCCCATAAGGAATTTTAGGTCAAAGGTGGATTTCTATGAATGGAAGGAGAGAGAGAATGTAGAGGAGGATATTGGTTTGGAGTGCAAGAAAATTCTTTCCTAATATAGAGAAACATTTTCTTTTCTTCATCTGGCGCCGTCTGTGGGAAATGCGATGAGTGATTTCCCAATAGTTTTCCAACCCAATTGATGACACAGCTATGTTCCGGGACAATGATCGGTGAAGAAGGCAAGTAGCATCATGAGGTTAACCAGAACGATCGACAGGAGGAACTCTGGTAGCTGATATAGACCTTGCGCAAGGAGAACACGTAAGTCGTGAAGATCTTGCGCAAAGAGAACGCAAAGCTCCGATCACGATTGGAATGTAGGATGGAGCCTTATCCTCCACCACCGCTAGTAAATCAGGCAGCAATGAATGAGGTAGACCCTCGGAATGACCGCGTTGGGTCTGTACACTATGACCCCCGTTCAAAGGAGTTTGGTGGCGGACTGAGAGACCAAGTGATCGACTAAGAGAGCACCAACAGAACGATTGCTCAGAAGTCGGACACACCCCAGGTGTTCGAAGAAATATCAAAGGCAAATATCTGAACGCAAGTTCAATGAGAGGTGGGCGAACGACTTAAGGACCTAAAGGCACCTACACTAGCTAACATGGCTGCAAAGGCCTGAGATACTGAAAGAACCCAAGCCAAAAAAGTTCATCATCCTACCGTTCACGTCATTCGACGGCTCAATGGACCCAATGGATCACGTTTGCCATGTCTAGTTGAATATGACCTTTCACAACGATAACAATGCCCTGATGTGCCGAGTGTCCCAACGAGTCTAACCGGGCCAACTCTTAAGTGGTCCAAACACCTGCCGAAGGGGACTATTGGAAGTTTTTGCCAGTTATGTGAAGTGTTCATGGCACAGTATTTCAGCAATCAGCAGATTCAAAAGAGCGTATTGAGCCTGTTCACCATGAAACAACACAAGGGAGAGAGGTTACAGGCTTTCCTCACCATGTTTAACCTTAAGCCTTTGTATGGTCCAAGAATGTGATCAGAGAGCAGTAGTTGAAGCTTTCAAGCTGGCTATCATTCCTGACACTCTCTTCCATGGTGCATTGGTGCACAAGACGCCTAAGAATATGGGAGACCTCCAAAGCACAAGGCTACATATAGATGGAAGAGAAGGAGGCCATGTGAATGCATCAAGCCACCATGGTCACCATTGAGGGCTATTCGCGTAATAAGATCAAAGGGTAAAAGTTACCAAGTTAAGCGCTGCAGGCCCATAGAGGCCACCTAAGCATAAGAAGGAAGAGGAAGCCGTCACACCACTTAGGACTTCCTTGGTGAAGCTTTACCAAGAGCATGGCCAAGTTCTCACCACTGCAGCCGATCAGATAGCCGATCGAACAACGAGATCAATCCAAGCACTGTGCCTTTTTATTGTGATTTTGGACATCAAACCAACGAATGTCGAAATCTCAGAAGGCAAGTGGAGATGATGATAGCTAAGGGGGATTTGTCTAATTATGTGTTGCCTAAGGGACAATATAACCTCACCCAAACGGTAAGGTCGAACGCATAAGGAAGAGTGCATAACAAGACGAACCCTCAGGAAATCTAACCCGTAAGAATTATAAACACCATCTATGGGCGTCCTGAAGAAGATGAGGAAACTAAAACGTTACTCCGAACGCGCCTAAGACAGACATAAAACCTGAGAAGGGTGAACAATGTCAGTACTGCAAGATGAATGGAGGTGGACACCTAGATCAAGTTTGGGGGATCCGATCTATAGAGGGCCTAAACTCCACATGAAGATCCCCACATAATTAGCCTCATGGTAGTAAGTTGTGTGGTGAAATGAGTCTTAGTCGACCTAGGAAGCAATGCGAATATAATCACCAAATCAGCATTTGAGCAATTGATGATCGACCCAAAGCAGGTTAAACCTACTGGGAATCCGTTGGTGGGGTTCGATGGGAAAAGAGTGGAACCGATCGGGGTGATAGAGTTACTTGTCTGTGCAGACCAGAGGAATCTGAAAGAGAATTTTGTCATAGTGGATGTTTATCCTACGTATAACCTTTTGATGGGAAGGGGATGGATTCACCGCATGCAAGGAGTACCATCCACCCTGCACCAGATAATGAGATGCGTTAGTCTAGATGGAAGTAATGTGATCGACATCCGAGGAGACGAGGTGGCAGCAAAGTAATGTTATGCGGTAACCGTTAGGTCCAAAGACATGGGGAAAGACGTAGCCTATACCTAAAGTAACAAATAACAATTACAGTCCCCTTCGTCTGATTACGATCAGTTGAGTGAAGAGATGGAGGAGCAACTCCTCACGGAAGAGTAATTAGATGAAGTCCAAATCGACCTAGCCCACCTAGATAGAGTGGTCAGGATTGGATCATTGCAGAACGAGGGAGAAAAGGCCAAACTGGCAAAGTTGCTTAATACTAATTCAGACATCTTCGCCCGGAGCCACTTGGATATGCCCAGGGTGCACCCCGAGGTTGTATGTCACAGCCCTAATGTAGACCCAGGTTTTCGCTCTGTTCGTCAAAAGCAAAGAAGATTTGCCCTAGAGAGAAATTGGATCATAGCTGAGGAGGTTGACTGCTTGTTAGAGGCAGGGTCCATAAGGGAAGTGTACTACCCACAATGGTTGTCGAACGTGGTAGTAGTTCAGAAGAAGAATGTCAAATAGAAAGTGTGTATTGATTTTGGCAATCTAAATATGGCTTGTCCCAAGGATAACTACCCCTTCCTAAAGATTGACCAAATAGTAAATGCTACTATTGGGTTCGAACGTTAGGCATTTTTAGATGCGTATTCAAGATACAACTAGATCCTAATGGACCCTGAAGATGAAGAGAAGATGTCGTTCATCACAAAACGAGGAATATATTGCTACAGAGTCATGTCGTTCGAATTAAAAAGGCCAAGGCAACTTACCAGCGCCTTATCAATAAAATATTTAAGAGCCAGATGGGCCAAAAAGTGTAGGCTTATATCGATGACATGGTGTTAAAAAGTAAAATGAAGCGAGATCACCTTCATGACTTACAAGATGTGTTTGATACTCTAAGGAGGCATGATATGAGGTTGAATCCTTCAAAATGTTCATTTGAGGTTTCCTCGGGCCTAGACCACATAGTCAATTACAGAGGCATTGAGGCTAGCCCAATCTACGCCACAACACTAGTATAGAACGAAGAGCCCAAGTTTCTCAAACATGTGTAGGTTTTGACAAGAAGAATAGCCGCATTGAGCAAATTCATATCGCGTCTATCAGATAGGTGTAAGCCCTTCTTTGATGCTATTAGAGCAAGAGGGAAGCAGTCCTGGGGGGCTGACTAGCAAGAGGCGCTGGCCAACCTGAAAGAGTATATACAGAATTCACTGATCCTTTCTACCCCCAAATA